AGCTGACCTCATACGTCATCCTCCCGGAGCTGCTTCCGTGTACAACTGTTGGCGCAAGCTAGATTAAAGTGATTATTACGTTTTGAATATGGATATTTTTCTTACAAAAACCCATCGATTCGCTAAAGGAGGCCTTTGTTCACCCCCCGGAGCCGTGTGAGACTCTTTTTTTATGGATGGGCGCTTTTTATTTCACTTCTTTTGGACTGATGCATGCAACACCCCCTGAGTGGGATTAAACAGCTTGAAAGATCAAAGACAATTTTTTATATAACTCCGACTGGATTCGACTGAAAGAAGAAAGTCATATACACCTTGGATGACTTGAGGGTGAGTAATTTATGGGCTAATTTTTATTTTTGGGTGAACTAACCCTTTAAGGGAAAAGGGAGATGCATGATTCAAAACTTTTGGTTTTTGCTCCAATTTTTATGCTGACAACTTAATAATTTTCAATAATTTACTAATTGTTGTACCTGTAGAAACAGACAAACTGCTCCTTATAAAGAGTCCGTCCCAGCCTGGAGCTTCCGACCATTGTGAAGGGACGTTTCTTATTAGCTCTGTGGGAGAAAAAGTGAGTTAAATTTGGGTTAAGTTTAGGCTTTTGAGCTACAGATGGTGAAGAGAATCTCTGAAGGTTCATACAGACCTGGTGCTGTTGAGCTCCTGTAGAAATTTGTCTATAGATTTGCCCGATTTGTCCACCACCTCCAGAATAATGATTATACTGTACCGAGAGAAGATCTACAGGGAAAGTGTAGTGGTCTATTTTAATAACTTCCTATAAGCTTTTACTGTGTGATTTTCTTAAACAATCAGATAATAAACTCACCTTAATAAGATAATTTACAATATTTTTGTTTGACAGTTTGCTTGAACCCATACGTCTGATGTTAAAAGATGCGATCTTCATGGTGTCAACCTTCAGAAGACCAGAAAAACATCGCAAAGTGAAATGAGTTTCACGACAAGAAACACTGGATGTTTTCAGGTCTGTTGGCATTTCTATACCATTTTCCTGTTGTAAAATGCCAAAGGAAGTTTAGCAGACAATTCAAGGATGCATTGTTCATTCACAGGAAGTACTTATAGTTTATAAAGAGCTGACATGTCAGGTTATGCAGGACCACAGGAGATCCGTTAGAGACAGAGAGGAAAACCACAACGGGTTTTGTTTCGAGAGTTCGAAAGCAAAATGTACTCAAAACAACACAAAATGAGTTTTGATTTAATAAATTCATCTAAGATTTGAAAGAAGCTCCAATGCACCAGTATGAAGTGGGAAAAACTCCATATTAACACATTCAAGGATCATCTTTGATCTAGCTTAAATCTGTTATATATCTATTATTTAATACAAGCTAAACATGTTATGTATTTCAATTTATTTTAATATAAATTAATAAACAGATAATCAGCTCTTACCGAAGCTGCTTGTGTTTACTATGAAGTCTCAAATTGTTTTCCAGTGTTGTCCGTTAGGCAGCTAGTGAATAATGAATGGCTGCTCATTTGAAAACAGGCCATGCCTACTTCCTGTTTTAAATCAGATAGGTTTTCTGTCGCACAGATGTCTCGTAAAATGGAGAATTTATAGAGGCCTCACCGATTGATAACAGAACTTCCCTTTGGTTGTATAGTAATTTTATAGCAGGCTTGACTAGAGGAAACCACATAGCCATAGGTTTAAAGATCAATTGAGTTGACTGTCAAAAACAACAAGGGACGTTTTGTATGAATTTACATTTGTGAAACCTCACCCATCAGGATAACAGTGCATTTTAGACTCAAACCTGCTGGTGCACTTAATGCACTTTATTTTTTTTAAAAAGCATGGTATAAAATATCACCAGCTTTGACCTCAGAAACACCTGGTTTCCCTATATGCTTTGCAAACAATATATTCCCTTGAAACAAGTCACTTCATAATGAGTTTGACCTTCATTTCCCATAATGCAATGTTTTGGCGGCAATCTACTCTATTTAAAAATTGCAATAGTTTCATGTGATAATTTTGCTAAACATTTACATGACTGATCTATCTATCTGTTTATCTACCTAAACCTGAATAAACATTTCCCGCCATTTTCCTGAGATTCCTTTTCGTGTTATTGTTTTTTAAATTCCTCAAATCATCTGAACCTGTTGTAGCTGACATGTTGTTTCTGGCTCACTGGTCTTTACTGTAGTCGTATTTCACTTCGCTATGGAGGCACTGACTGCATTTCAAGCGGAAAAAAACGACAACACACCTGGATTGTCTGGACATGAATCCATCTCAATGACAGTTATGAAAACAAAGGACCTTTGACGTTGAATGTAACATCAGTGTAGCGAAATATTTAACTTTAAGTTATAATAACTGAACAAACATCCACTTTAACTAATGTCCAAGACAAAGTGTCTCCTTCAAATGCAGAATTTGTAATTCAGTTTCTATATATTTCCAAAAATAAGCACACTGCATCCTGCATCCACAAGGCAGCAGCTTCCTGTTACACCTGACTGATGGAAACAGGCTCCTTCGCTTCTTTCTTACTTTACCGGTTTACTTGGCTCTCGAACAACTTCAATATCTCATTCTGTCCAACCTGGCAATTATTTCTCCACCTTCCAGCACAAATTAAAATGCGTTGTGGCTGTAATGAGGATGATTGTATTGTCTGAACTCACCTGCACTCTTTAGCTTTCCACTTCCGAGTGAATGTTTGCCCAGAGGGGGGAACTGTTTTGAGTGATGTCCAAGTTGGGGCTGGGCCAAATCACTCGACTGGTTCCTGCGTCTAGCCAATCAGGTCACAGGTGTCCAATATAAGTAATGCTGCAGTTTTTATGAATCTCCACAGTCCTTTTTCTTTAGTGCATCTTCAGACCAATACTTGGGTAAGTTAAGTTATGTTCTTTCAGTCCTTAAATCTTTATCTTAAATGGTACCAATAAAAAAACACCACAGATTCAAGAAAGGTTCTTGTGTTTTTATATTCCTACACTCTAAAAAATGCTGGGTTGTTTCAACCCAACTTTGGGTCAAATATGGACTAACCCAACCGTTGGGTTAAATTTTTACATTCAATTTTTAACCCAAAAGTTGGGTTAGTCCATATTTGACCCAAAGCTGGGTTGAAACAACCCAGCATTTTTTAGAGTGTACCATGTAGTTTGGCATTTAAATTTAGAATATTCTAAAACAATATATTTGGTGTAAGTTAAGTTTTGTTCTTGGACTAAATTATCTTCATTTTTAGAATTCTTAAAAAATAGTTTAAAAAGTGTCCAGACAACTTTATCTCAGCATCTGCACTGCAAAAAAAAAAAAAGATATTCTTAGCTACTTTGCTGACATTTACTTGATAAGCAAACTGACTTAAGATATTAGGTCTTATTTTCTGAGAAATGTATCAAAATTTTGTTTTGCTCAAAACAAGAAAAAAATATATCTGCCAGTGGGATAAGAAAAATAATCTTAATTCAAAGGGAAAACAAGATTAAAAAAATTCCCATTGGCAGATATTTTTCTTGTTTTAAGCAAAAACTAACAAAATTTTGATACATTTATCAGAAAACAAGACTTTAATAGTAATTTGTTTTAACAGTCATTTTGCTTCTCAAGTAAATGTATCTTGATTCGAGAAGGTTTAGATATTTATACTAGAAAAAAATACCAAGAAAGAAAGTAATTTTTTGCAGTGTGATAATCAAACAAGCTTCTTGTGTTTTTATATTCCTGCCATGTTATTTGGCAAAATATTCTAAAAATATATGCTTTTGTTCTCTTAAATAAAAAAAAAAAATCATCTCAGTAACACCCGCAATTGGGAAACCTGAAAATGAAGCCCCCAAACTTGTCTCTACTTGTGTGGTGTTGAATGAGATGGAATGTGAAAACTCTTTGTTTAAATCCAGCCATTGTCACAAATAAGGTTTCGGATGGTGGTGTCATGTTCACGACAATCCATATGTTCCTTGTATAGGAATGTCCGAGCACTGGAACTAATTTCTGCCCCATTCAGAGAGCCATAGAGAAACCCTCTGGGCATAAAGTTCCTCTGCACCAATTGGCCCGACACCAAGTCACTAAAATGGCCTTTCTTGTTGTTTAGTCAAACTGTGGCTTTCATCCGTTTGCATTTGTGAATGAACAGACATGTTCCTCTGTCTTGGTTTAGAATTTAAATTTCCCTCTCCACTAGATCAAATTGATATTTTTATTTTTTAGGCAACATTAAACACATTTAGCTGTTGTGTGTTGTGCTGGTCTGGTGATCTCAAACTCTTTAAAGGCCACGTTCACACAGCAGCAGAATAGGCTAATGTTGTCAGTCCTGTATTTGAGTCCTTAATACGGTTACGTTCACACACAGTACGGTTATTTTCAGGCGACAACCGCATTCTGTAACCAAACTCACACCAGTTAAATGTTCAGGACTCACAACCGCATTCTTGAACAGGACTGGACAACTAGTGCGAGAGAGCCGCTCTGCTGCACAAACGCGTGTCTACCGTGTGCTGCGTGTTTTCAGTAACTTACAGTGACGGAGAAATGAGCTGTGTGTCATCTGAAAGTTTTAGATCCAGTTTTTCTCCACCGGAGCTGCTCCCGTCAGCTTTGTGTTCTGCGCGCGACTCAAATGATCTGCTCTCCACACAAATATAAAAGCTGGTGTCGGTTAATGAAGGTTTGACAGATGAACTCGCGGCTCGATTGGACTCTTGTCGTGTCAGAAAGTAGTAACTTTACGTTTTGTGGACGTCGCCATCTTTGATATTTCTTTGGTCACTGTTGCTATGGTAACTAGTAAGAAATACGGACTTGACTCCGGTTTCAGACAGTTTTCGAGACGCTACTGTGAGTTGCTGTGTGAACGGGACATTTCAAGACTCACACCTGTAAAGAAAAAATGTAAATGCAGTTGTCAATCCCAAAAATTGACAGTGTGAGCGCCTTAGTAAACAGCTCTGGCAACTCCTGAAACAGGTTCTTCCGCATGTAATTGCTTTAAAAATAATCAAGCGATAGCAACAGCTTTCTAAGAAAAGAAGAAAGAGTGTTTCACTTCATTTGTTGACAACTGCATGATTAAAGGGCTAGTTCACCCAAAAATGCAAATGAGGCTGTGTTTTACTCAAC